CCTATGGGGGTGTGTTAGAACATTATAGCTTATACATTTGTGTAGGCTGTAGTGGGGTAGCCCATATGGGTTACAACCCAATTAGGGTTAGTACTTGTACCCAACTGTTTCATAGTTCAATCATTCTCGTTTCAGTTTTCTCACGGATCAACCCTAAACATCTGGCAAGTTGTATTTAGGGTTGATTTTCCGAAAACGCAATCAGGTTTGTTCTGGGTATTATATTTTTTGGGCGGGAGTTTCATCTGTGACCATTTGCGTTATTTTTTTCCAGTTGATTATGAATGATTCCATGAAAGGTTTTATCAAACACGTGAAAACACCCTGTGCTGTGATCGTACCCGTTATTTTTTTACCAAACATATTATCGAGACCCTTGTTGATCACGAGTGGCATATTTACCCCTCGAAAGTACCATTCATAAGGGCCTACACTAAGTGAAATGTTGCACTGCACAAAGTAATGTAACTATCTTCAATATCGTGAGGTGCACCCATTTCACGGGCTTCGCGATCACTTGAATCTTGAAATGAAGGCTCTGGTTCTTCATCATAAACTCATCCTTGAGTTCTTTGTACCAAAAATATGCGTAATTAACGCACATATTCTTGGTACCAACCATGCGGGTAAGTAACGCACATATTCTTGGTACCAACCAAATGGGTACGTACCGTGCTTACGATTTATAAGAAACACATGGACGAGTATCGCACTTATTCTAGGTACCAACCACAAGGGTAAGCAACGCATTTGTACTCTCTGTACCAACCATATGGATAAGTAACGCATTTACTTCTACTACCAACCATATGGGTAAGTAACGCACCTACTTTTCATACCAACCATATTGGTAAAAAACGCTCTTGGTACCAACCATATGGACATGTAACGCACCTAATCTTGGTACCAAACATATGTGTAAATAATGCACATTTTTTTCGTACCAACCATATTGGTAAGTAACGCACCTACTTAAGGTACCAACCAGATAGGTAAGTAACGCACTTACTCCTGGTACTAGCCATATGGGTAAGTAACGCATTCTCTCTAGTGGGAACCATATGGGTAAGTAACGCACATTATTTTTTGTTCCAACCATATCGTTAAATAACGTAATTATTGTTGGTGCCAACCGTATGGGTAAGTAGTGTACTTACTCTTAGTACCAATCATATGGGTGAATAATTCCCGTACTACTAGTACCAACTATATAGGTATGTAACGCACTTATTTTGGGTACCAACCATATTGGTATGTAAGCACTTACTTTTTGTACCATCATTATGGGTAAGTAATTCATTCTCTCTTTGTACCAACCATACGCATTTTGATTTTCGTTCCAACCATATTGGTAAGTAACGTAGTTATTCTTGGTACCAGCCGTATGTGTAAGTAGCATACTTAATCATGGTACCATTCATATAAGTGAATAACTCCCGTACTCTTGGTACCAACTATATAGGTAAGTAACGCACTTGTTTTTCGTACCAACCATATTGACATGTAGAGCACTTACTATTGGTACCATCCTTATAGTTAAGTAACGCGCTCCCTCTTTGTACCAACCGTATGGGTAATTATCGCATATACTCTTGGTACCAACCATATGGGTAAGTAACGCATTTTTTTTTTCCGTTCCAACCGTATTGGTACGTAACGCATTTATTCTTGGTACCAACCGTATGGGTAAGTAGCGTACTTACTCTTGGTACTAATCATATGGATACGTAGCGCATTCACTATTCGTACCAACCGTATGGGTAAGTAACGCACCTACTCTTGGTACCAATCATATGTGTAAGTAACGCACCTACCCTTGGTACCAATCATAAGGGTAAGTAAAGCATTCACTCTTCGTACCAACCACATGGTTAAATAACGCAGCTGCTCTTGGTACCAACCATATGGGTAAGTAACTCATTTGTTTTTGAGAAAATGAGAACGAGAATGAATGACTAAGGAATGAAAGTGATACAAGTATGCAACCCTAGCATTGTGTACCCCATATAGGCTACCCCACTACAGCCTACTCAACATTATAATTTGACACACCCCCATAGGCAAAGTGGGGGAGAACAAGGGGTCACAAGACCAGTCAGGCAAAGCAGACAAAGCTCAGGGTGGATCACAACATCACCATACAGTCCGAGCACAAGGTAAAGGCCACAAGGCCAGTTCACATGCAGGAGTACACATATATATATAAGGCTAAACAAGCAAGAGCAGGTATATATATATATGTAAGAGTACAAGTAAGGTCAAGGGGTGAGCAAGTGAGGCAAGACAAGCACAAGACCCACCTGAGTGCAGAAGCGCTGATGATCACAAGGCGGAAGTGCCTTGGTGAAAACATCAGCAGTGTTGGCCTCAGAGGCCACGTACGCAAGTCGCAACTGACCACGCTGCAGCAACTCACGAGCAAGAAAGTAGCGGAGAGCAATGTGCTTCGTTCTGTGCTCCACGCGCTGCTCCCGACACAAGGCTAGCATGGCCTTGTTGTCTACGTACAGGACTGGAGGAGAACGAGGCGGCTCTCCGAGGTCAGTCAGCAGGTAGGTAAGCCAGCGAAGTTCGTGTGCAGCCATGGCCCCGGCGTAGATCTCAGCCTCACAACTGGAGCCGAGAACAGAAGACGAGCGAGTAGCCCGCCACGAAACAGAGCCGGAACCAAGGCTGAAGGTGTAACCCTGTGACGACCGCTGCGTAGCCTGGTCGTCTTCCCAAGAAGCGTCCGCGTGCCCAGTGAGGACCACTGGACTCCGCCCTCCAAGCACTAGCCCCATGCCCGACGTACTGCACAAGTAGCGCAACACCCTCTTCGCTGCAGCCATGTGCTCTGGTCGGTGTCTCCCAGGAGAAACATAGCGTGCAAGAATGCTAAGAGGGTATGCAAGGTCAGGTCGTGTGCAGGTCATCAGGTATATGAGGCAGCCAACAAGCTCTGGGTACGGGCCACTCGACTCTACGGACTCATCCGAAGGCAGAGCTGAGAGCGAGTGGCGAGTAGACAGAGGAGTGGCCTGAGGCGAGGAGTACGTGAAGCCGAAGCGCTGAAGGACCTGCTGCACCATGTGTGACTGAGTCAGGGTAATGGTGCGGCGTGCTCTGTCCCGGGTGATCTGCAAGCCAAGGTAGCTGCGCAGTTCACCCAGGTCTGTGCACGTGTGTCTCTTCTGCAGCTTGGACTTCACGTGGGCGAGTCCAGCAGTGTCAACTATGGCAAAGACCAAGTCGTCGGCGTACACGAGGATGTAGAATGGCGGCAGAGAGGTGTCGGTGCGTAGAAACAGTGACGGGTCAGCTGTAGAGGGAGCAAACCCAAGAGCCGCAAGTGTAGTCCTCAGTGTGTCGTGCCACTCGCGCGGTGCCTGGGGGAGACCGTAGACTGGCCGTCGGAGGCTCCACTGGGTGCCAGGAGGGAAAGTCCCAGTGAAGCCAGGTGGACGGCGCAACCAGATCTTCTCGTGCAGGCTACCCTGCAGGAAAGCAGTGCTGAAGTCAAGGGAATGAAGCTCGTAGTCACGCTGAGCGGCTACGTGTAGGTGCCTGTGGACTTCCAGGAAGCCATCTCTGCATCCATAGCTGCCTGCCACTGAGAGGAGTAGGGACCCTCTACGGCCTCCCCGTAAGAGCGCGGAGTCAATATGTCTAATGCATAAGGGTCTCCCTCAGGGGTAAGCAGTACGGACGCGAGATGAGGTGAAGCAGCAGCCAGACACTGGAACTCCTCCTGCCTCTCCTCAAGGACGTCCATGCTAAGAGCACACTCACCCCCGACGGACGGAGGACAGACACACGCAGACTCAGCAACAAGACTAGCAGCGTAGGCTAGACGACAGCGAGCAGCAAAGTCGACGAGCTCAGCAACAAGAGCAGACGCAGCAGTGGACTCAAAGGAGGGGTCAGTGACGACAGTAGCAACGAGACGCGTGACAGTAGGACTGGCAGCACGAAGAGAGTCCGACTCAGGGTCGACAAGCACAGGAAGAGAGGACGAAGGAGGAGAGGGCAAAGGGGCATGCAGAGGAGCAGTGGACGGACGCAGAGACATCCGGTGCGTGCCAGGGACAGCAGGAGGACGCTGATGCGAACTGCGACCACTAGTGCGAGCAGCACGAACAGGCGACGCAGGACGAGACGCAGGCTCACGACGCTCAGCAAGACCTCCAGTAGGACCAGTGTACGGAGAAGGAGAGGGCAGTGGGGAGGCCGGCGGTAACTATGACTGCGACTGGACAGGCGGTGGACACTCTAAGGGAGGAGGAAGACCAAGAACCAGCTGAAGGAGCGGAACAAAGTACGGCCGAGGCCGCGCGGCGACTCCAGACACAGCAGGGACAGCACCAGCACCCCCAGCGGCAGCACCAGCGTCAGCAGCACCTCCAGCTCCAGTACCTCCAGCAGCACGAGTAGCACCTGCAGCAGGACCGCCGCGAGGACTGACAGAAGTAGCCTCAGCGCCAACACCCTCAGCAGCTCCGACTCCACTAGCACTCGAAGGACTAGCACCTCCGAGACCCGCGGCACCAGCACCCTCAGCAGCCGAAGAAGCACCAGCTCCAGTAGTAGGCCTCCAGCGCCGGGCAAACCACTCGCGCAGCCCCTGTCGAGAGAGTGGCTCCCGCCGAGACGAGGCACCCGGATAACCAGCAGGCCCAGCACCGCCAGACGCCACCCGAGCAGGTCCAGCGGCCGCGGGCTCCGCACCCCCAGGCTCAGTAGCTCCAGACTCAGCACCCCCGGGCTCAGCAGCTCCAGACGCAGCACCCCCAGGCGAAGGACCCCCAGGCTCAGCACCCCCAGTCGTAGCACCCCCAGGCTCAGCACCCCAAGTCGTAGCACCCCCAGGCTCAGCAACCCCAGGCTCAGCACCCCCAGTCGCAGCATCCCCAGACGCAGCACCTCCAGGCTCAGCACCTACGCGCGCAGCACCCCCAGAGTCAGCACCCCCAGGCTCAGCACCCGCAGCAGTACCAGAGTCACCAGCAACCTCGACCGGCTCAACTGCATCTACCTGGGACACACGTGAAGGGGCAGGACCCTGAGGGGGGAGGGGGTCTACCGGGGGGGGACCTGGCACAAGGAAGTGCGGTGGCGGGGGGAGGGAAGGAGTGCGGTAGGGGAAGAGGCGGTAGTAGGGTATTGACTCGTCGAACGTGACGTCCTGGGAGGACAGAACACGACGAGAGGTGGGGTGGTAGAACTGCCACCCAGGGGCGTCAGGGGGGAAGCCAAGGAAGACACAGGGAGCAGCACGAGGGGACAGCTTGTCCGCAGACAAGTCGCGGACAAACGCCCGAGATCCCCAGACACGGAACGCAGACGCATCGCCGACCTTCCCCGTCCACAGCAAGGCTGGGGAGGTCTCCGGTCTGGAGACCCTGGGGTGAAGGTTGATGTGATGCGCCGCGTACCGAACCGCAAACGGCCACAGAAAATGGGGGGCAGCCGCATGCATCATAGACGTACGAGCGACGTCCATGACCATGCCAATGCGGCGCTCAGCAATCCCATTTTGCTGCGGAGAGTCCGGAAGCTTGAAGGTCTGGCGGATGCCTCGCGCACGACAGTAGGCTTGCAGGAGGCCAGAGGAGAACTCTCCGCCTCGGTCAGAGTGCAGACGCAGAACAGGAAAGTCCGAGCCGAAGCTCCTCCTGAGCTGGAGACGAGCTGCGCGGATCCAGTCGATCAACACCTCAGCGACATCACCCTTGCTGCGCAAGGGGAAGACTGTGGTTTAACGCGAATAGTCGTCAACCACCAGCAGGAAGTAGCGCTCGTGACCCTGTCCACGAACGCCGGCCGGGCCCCACACGTCCATATGATGCGTTTGCAGCGAGGCCTATGTCGGGGGAAACTGAGAGGAGTGAGGGGCTGCTCGGAGCCGCCCCTCGACACAGGGGACACAGGAAGGACCAGGCCCCGGAGGAAGGGGAGGGAGGGACCGGGGAAGACCAGAGACAAGGACACGGGAAGCCATGCCTCGGAGACGAGGCAGGGAGGGGTGACCAAGACGGTGGTGCCAGAGGAGAGTCTCGTGAGACAGGAGGCGACACGAGCAGGTGGCAGACTCAGGACAAGACCTGGACGCTGCAGCAAACACCTGACCCGACTCAGCTACCTGACCAGGCGCAGTGACTGGAGGAGACTCAGTGGTCAGTGTGTACAGGCTCGACCCCGGCCGACGTGTAAACGTGGCCAGGTGTCGGCCTGTCCGAGCGTCCGTGCAGTGGGTCACCCGCTGACTCGCAGGAGTGAACTGGTGAACCCCCGTATCCTGCAGGTCAGCACCACTCACCAAGTTTGTAGAGAACGAGGGGAGGTAAAGACCAGACAAGGTGCCAGAGGGGGCAGTCGGACACGGGAGGACAGTGGAGAAGTGAGAGAGGACAGGACCCCCAAAGGGGTCTGCCAGGGAGACTGCAACTGGCCGACCAAGCGGCGTGAGTGTGGTGCGGTCTCGAAAGAAGGAGCGAGAAGCCCCCGAGTCAAGTGTGAAGGAGAGGGAGGCCGAAGTTGACGTGGTACCTGAGAGCGCAGACTCACCAGCACCTGAGGGCGTGGACGCACTGGCACCTAGAGCAGCAGCCTGACCAGTACCTAGAGCAGCAAGTACCAATGCCCGGGTCGGGCGGGAAACAATCACCCTCATCACTAATAGTCACAGCATACATGGCAGCAACGATTGCATCAAAGTCAAGATCAAAGATAGCTACGCCTGCCCTAGACAGCTCTCCCCAGCGGGGGATCTCACTAGCCTCCGGGAACTGCTGACGCCAAGCGTCCATCAGGCGGCCAAAGCAGCGCTGGGTGGGGTGAGCACCCCCACACTGCTCACCCGTGCGGTCACCGGAGCGGAGGACGTAGGCGCACGGGCCAAAACCCCCACCACGCTGACGCTGCGTGTACCACTCACGGAGCTGCTGAGGAGGGGGGATGTCTCGAGAACGCTGCTGCTTCTGCTGCTGCTGGCGCTGACCACTCCCGGAGCCGCTCCGCTGAGAAGTACCACCTCGACCAGCTCCACCTCCTCCACCACCGCCGCCTCCACCTCCGCCGCCACCGCCGCCTCCGCTCCCACCGCTACCGCCACCGCCGCCTCCGCCTCCGCCGCTGCCACCGCCACCTCCACCCCCGGCACCACTCCCACCGCCACCCCCACTCCCTCCGCCGCCTCCACCGCCACCTCCACCACCCCCGCTAGCTCCACCCGCGCCCTTGCCCCCCTTGCCCTTGCCAGAGCGGCGTCTCCCGCTAGGGGCAGACGCCACACCGACCGACACAAGACCAAGTAGGTCGGCCGCAGCAGCAGAGGCGACAGAGGGCAGCAAGGGGGAAGGGGAACACCCCTCAAAGATGGGGGTGCGAGGGTCACCACGAGAGGCTCCTACAGCGACTATGCTCTTCTCCGCTGCTAGGAGGGCCTTCTCTAGGAGGTCAACGGTGAGAGTGGTGGGACAGACTGAGAGAAAGTGGTCCCTGACTACGCGGAGGGAGTCAGGGAGGCGGGTGACTATGTAATAGAGAGTGATGTACATGGGGGGGGGGGGGTTCTTGGCGCAGAACTCAGCAGGCAGCGCGGCGCGGTAGCGAGTGTCACTAGTGCGGAGGTGCGTAATGAGGTGAGGTGCGTAATGAGGTCAGCAACTGTGGGAAATGCAGCAAGGTCAGGGAAGAGGTACGGTAGCATGAGGCGGCTCAGTGCAGCAGTGGCAGGGGAAGAGTAGCGCGCAACTACAGCGTTGTACAAGGTCTGAGCACTCTTGTACTGACTAAAGTGCGCGCGCTCAGTGGTAGGCAGGTGGCGACGCACAGCAAGACGTGCAGCAGCATCGCGGGTGGCCCACTGAGAGCGAACAGTGGGGTCAGCATCAGCAGCAGGTGCAGGAGAGGCGCCAGAGGTGAGGTCAAAGAGAGAAAGACCGTCCGCCCTATCGCACTGTAAGAACAGCTGCAGGTCGTCGACCCAGACCTCAAAGTCAATGGCTCGACCCTCAGCGTCAAAAGCGAGGACACTAGGGGTAGCCATGACGACGGTAGACTAGCAGTGCAAGCAGTAGGGGAAGGGCACGCAGTGACAGAGAGGCTGTGCTCACCGGACAGGGCTGCTCGGGCGGCGGGGCCGCTGAAGCAGGGCGGCGGGGCCGCGAAGTGGGGCTGCGGGGCCGCGAAGTGGGGCGGTGGGGCCGCTGAACAGGGTGGCGGGGCCGCGACGTAGAGCGGCGGGGCCGCGAAGTAGGGCGGCGGGGCCGCAGGAGTAGGGCGGCGAGGCCGCAGTTAGGGCGGCGGGGTCGCGACGTAGGGCAGCGGGGCCGCGAATGCGGGTGGCGGGGCCACGCTAGTAGGTGGCGGGGCCGCACGAACGGGTGACGGGGCCGCTAAGGTAGGGAGGGCCGCTAGGGCATAGGGGCCGCTAGGGCGGCTCGACGAGGTGAGAGCGCGACTCGGGCGGAGTGCGCTTCGGGCAGGAAAAAAATTCGAAATTTGGTGGGCCCTAGGCACAGTTCCCACAGGGGAACCTGCTCGATACCATGAGAAAATGAGAACGAGAATGAATGACTAAGGAATGAAAGTGATACAAGTATGCAACCCTAGCATTGTGTACCCCATATAGGCTACCCCACTACAGCCTACACAACATTATAATTAGACAGTTTTGTACCAACTTAATGTGTAAGTAACAGACTTACTATTGATACCAACCATATGGGTAAATGACATTCCAACTCTTGGATAAATATAGCATATTTATGTTGTACCAACCATATGGGTAAATAATACCCTTTATTCTGGTTCCAACCATATGGGTGAGGAACGCACCCCCTCGTCGTAATAACCATGTGGGTGAAGAACAGATTTTCTTTCGTACCAACCATATCGGTAAGTAATGTATGTACTTATGGTAACAATGTATGGGTATGTAACGTATTGTTTCTTCGTACCAACTATATGGGTAAATAATGCACCTCCTCATGGTACCAAACATATTGCTACGTAGTGCACATTCTTTTGCTAAGTAAAGCATTCTCTCTTCGTACCAACCATACGGGTAAGTTACGCATCTTTCTTGGTACCACCCATATGGGTAAGTAACGCCCATTTTTTGTACCAACCATATGGGTAAGTAATGGACTTACTATTGATACCAACCATATGGGTAAGCAATGTCAGAATGTTATAATTGTATAGCCTGTAGTGGGGTACTCTATAGCGAGTACAACCCAATTAGGGTTCCCTATATGTATGCCAACTGCTGCTAGTGCAACCTCTCCCTCTTCTTCATTCCTCATTCTTCACAAGCAATGCACTACCTTATGGTACCAACTATATTGGTAAGTAGCGCACTTACTCTTCGTACCAACCATTGGGTAAGTAACGCATGTTTTTTTTTTTTTTTTCGTACCATCCATATGGGCAAGTAACACACTTCCTCTAGGTACCAACCATCTACTTAAGTAACGTACTTTCTCTTCGTACCAACCATATGGGTAAAGAACATACGTATGTTTGGATTCAACCATTTGGGTAAGTAACGTATACACTCTTCGTACCAACCAAATAGATAAGTAATGCACGCAATCTTCGTACCAACTATATGTGAACGTAGCGCTCGTTTTCTTCGTATGAACCGTATGGGTAAGTATTTGCTCCCAAAAGCATGGAAAAGTAACGCACTTGCTCTTGGTACCAACCAAATGGATAAGTAATGCACATACTATTGGTACCAACCATGTGAGTAAATAAAGCACTTTCTCTTCGTACCAACCATATTGGTAAGTAACACACAATCTCTTGGTACCAAATAATTAGGTAAATAACGCACTTAAATTTAGTACCAACCATATGTTGGGTGCAAATTCACATTGCACGACATCCTGCCGTCTGTTTGTACGAGTATGCGTGTGCGAATGCATTTGCGTGTGAATGGTATGTTTGTGTGTTTGTTTGCTTTCGCAATTTTCGCTTGAAGCATTTGCAGGTACTCGCAAAATGTGCGCTTCGGCATAACATTGTACGCGCTATGAACAGTAGAAGCAGAAAGGACGAGCTCGCAAAGGAACCCAAGATGGAAGCTTTGCGGTTCAACTTACATGATTGCGCAGATTCAGTTCTATCCAACTCGAAATTGTACTGTTTTGTTTGGTTGACTATAGTGTAGCAGGGCAGGCACTATAGGGGTACAATTTAGGTGAAGGTTGGATGTTGTTTGTCTGTATCTGCATGCTACAGGGCCAGGGGAAACCAGCGGAACCAACATTTGGCTGGTTGGGCAAAGACAAAACAGGTTCTGTTTTTAGGACCTGAACCTGGTTGTTGTTTTCCCAGGTTGGAAAAACAGAACCAGAGGTAGTTCACCAACCTACCACCTGCTATTTTGTCCAGCCAGGTTGGTTCTGTTGCTTGGAATTATTTGGGATCATCCCTGGTTGTTCCCAGGTTGATTCCCAAGGTCCTTGCTAGCTAGAGCTATTTATTTCTTCTCTGTTTGTACCTGAATATAGTGAAATTGATTCAAGCGAATTCCTTCCTTGCTGGAATTTCGTTTCTACGCGATGCGACGGCGGAATGCTACCCGAGTCAACGCTAGTATGCTAGCACTCCAACGCTAGGCTAACGCTGTCCGAGCCATAACTTCGTAATGGCAGAACTTTTCGCGAGGCAACTTGGCTTATTTTAAAGCTCTTAGAGTGAGCTTCGATATAGGAAATTCTCAGCTTAATCCGATCGACGGTCTGCACGATACGCTGCGCGACGTTCAAGGTACTCTTGCTGTTTTGACTAAGTCCCTCTTGATTCCTCTCTCTACAAACTCGGACCCGAGGATAGGGGCTGGTCTTGTACCAGGCACCCAAGGACCCTTGGAGGTGACCCCGAGGAGAGGTTTTAAGTGTGATAAAGTCTTAATAGCTTGAGTTTATTAGGCCCTTACACCAACAAGCTGGTATCAGAGCTGCGTTATAGTGATCCTCGATATAGGTAGCTATGGCGGGCAACACCTCGGCGGTAGCTGGTGAATCTTCAGCCCAAGATCGTAGCGGCAGCCATGATTCTGGTGTTTCTGCGCCAAGGGGAGCGCGAACAAGCCAGGGCTCGCTGATCAAGGAGGTGCTGAAAAACTTCACCGTCGAGAAGTTCAATGGTGAGGGCTATGATGATTGGGCCTGGAAAATGCAACTTTATTTCCGTCAAATCGGATTGCTGAAACTAATGATTGGGGAGGAGCCTAGACCGAGTGACCCCGCCCTTCAGGAAGATTGGGACGAGCGCGCCTCGGCTGGCTACTACTTGATGTCGCAGAGTTTGGAGCTGAACCAGCGTCACCACGTCATGCACCTGCTGCCGGAGGTTGAGTGCGGTCCGAAGGCGTGGACGGTGTTGAAGGAGCTGCACGCCCCGACCTCCGTTGTTGCAACATTGATGCTGGAGAGGGAGCTGTCCGCGTTGCGCCTGAGCGAGGGAGAGCCGGTACAACCTGTCCTGGACAAATTGCGCGACCTCTACGCGAAGTTGGCGACCGCAGGAATCACCTACCCGGAGCAAACAAAGTGCTTGAAGATGCTCTCGCTGCTGCCGGAATCGTGGCTTCAATTTACGAGCGGATTGAGCCTGCCGCAGAACCAGAGCTTGTGGACGCTCGAGTGGGTGCGGACGAAGATTCTGGAGGAGGACTTCCGTCGCCGCCAACTGAGGGGTGGAGACGACGGCAGCAGCGGCTACGGGATGCAAGGGAGCCGACGTGGCAAAGGACGTGGCTTCGGTGGTGCTGGACGCGGTGCAAAGAAAGACGACGACTCCAACGACCAACAAGGAGGTACCGGTTGGGGTCGCGGTGCGAAATTTGGACGTGGGGGCAAGTCGGGTGCTGGTGGCAAAATGAAAGGGAGTTGCTGGTATTGTGAGAAGGAAGGGCACCCCTGGTTTTTGTGCTATAAGAAACCCGATGGATGGACCCCCCAGAATCGTCACCAGGATGGCGGCGCGCGGAGGAACCAGAAAAACGGTGCCAACATGGTCGCTGATTCATCCGACAACAACCCGAAGGGCAACGGCGGTGCGGAGAAGAAGAAGGAGCGCACCGCGGGCCAATTCTTCCATATGGGAGACAAGGGGGAGCAAGGAGACGCATCTGCTAAGGCTGGAGCAGAGCTGCACCCCCTGGACTATTGGGTGTTGGACACAGGCGCTGCTTGGACAATGACGCCGCGCAAGGACCTGCTGGACGACGTACGCGCTGCACCGATTAATGAGGTGTGCTCTGCCTCTGGACACATGTTGAAGGTGGCTGGTGCGGGACGAGCTGCATTTAAGGGAGCGGATGGCAAGCCGGTGGTGCTGCACGACGTTCTCCTCGTCCCCGACCTGAAGGCCAACCTCATCTCCCTCCGTAAGCTTGGCAAGGCTGGGGTGAACACCAACACGGATGGGGCTCGCACTTATAAGGGGAAGCTGGGCAATCGGGTGCTTTGGGATCTGCACGAGAGCAAGGACGTGTACAGATCTATGTGGCAGCTGCCGGCGCTGGCGTGGCACGGTGGGGGGCAGGCTGGAGAGGGGTCTGCATCCCAGGGGGAGTGCAACGCCGTTGGAGGGGTTGGTGTGAAAGTGTCGGCCAGATCTGGGGAGACAGATTGGGCAACTGCACACCGACGTTTGGGGCATGTGGCAATGCCTTTGCTGAAGCAGCTGGAGAAGGATGGAGCCGTTAAGGGCTTAAAGCTGAACGGACAACCACCCGATGATAACTGTGAAATTTGCCTCCTTTCAAAGTTCACCCGTTTCCCCTTCCATAGTGTGGCTGGCAGGAGCAAAAAGCCGTTGGAGCTGGTCCACATGGACTTGGTGGGGCCGCTGCCGGTGCAAGGGCACAAGGGGGAGCGGTACTTCCTAACCATAGTGGATGACTGGAGCAGGCTAATGTGGGCGTATCCGCTGAAGCAGAAAGATCACGCCGCCTCCACGATTCGGGACGATTGGCTGCCGTTCGTGGAGAAGCAAGCGGAGTGTGTGGTGAAGCGGATTAGGACAGAT